ATAAAAGAAGTCCAAAAAAATAGTTCATTTGTCTTTACAATTTTCACAAGTATTTAAACTAATAAATTATTTTCTCTAAGAATAAAACTAGAGCATAAAGGACAATAAACAACTTTTTTATCAGCATGTAATTGATTTATAGTGATTATATTAATTAATTCTAATTTTATATCTTTCGAAACGGATTTATCAAAAGTAATAACATCTTTCTCATCTTCATCAATCAAAAAAACACAATCACAATGTTCTTCCAACTTTAAATCATCATACCCAGGATTGACCCAATCCCAATGTGGTTGAATATATATATAAAATCCACAAACTTTCATAACAGAGCTTGATATTATTTTTTTAACATCGATTTCTTTGAAATTCGTCGAATAAGGATTATAACAAACATAAGAACTATTCCAATCTTTATATTTATTTTTTTATGTTAAACAAAGAATCAATTGGAGTAGTCTTATTATTTTAATTTAATTTTTTTTTTTCATATTTTAACTATGTATATATTGTAAATAAAAAACAGGAATGTTATGCAGAGTACAGGATTTGACAAAGCAACCAATAATGAAGAAGAAATTGAATATCCTAAATATGTTTATGACTTAATTACAAAAAGCAAACCTCATTATGAATACTTGTTTCAACATAGAATTAAGATTTAGCACAATTTTGTTTATGGGTGTATGCCCAAAACGACGGATATGGGTATAAAGTTCAATTCCAATTAAGACTGTAAAATGTAAAAATATTTAGTACGTAACTTGAGTAAAAAACTTAATGAGTGCTTTTATATATCCAATAAACAAAACTATCCAAAATAATTCGAATCAGGATACCAATCAATGTTAACGAATTTGTCGTTAAAAACGTACTATGGTTAACGAATGAATACCAATTCCACGTTGAAATCGCAATTCTTAAAATGAAAACACCATCTATGATTATCTTTCTTTTGATTGTTAAAGTTATCAATACAAGGCCAAACATTAAGAATATCATTTTGTAGACATTTGCCACGTCTTCATAGCTGTAAATGTAAAAAAAATACATTAACTATATATGAAGCAAAGCAAAAATAATGAAAAATTAGAATTTACAGTACAAAGCTTCGGTCAAATTGGTAATCCAAATACCTAAAATGCAACCAACGAATTAAACAAAAAAAAAAAAAAAAGACAATTATTTTTCGTATTTTTAGTCCCATCTTTACGTGAACCTTAGCGTTTG